AAAATCCATTTTTTTGTTCTAGAGGAGATTTAAGACAGATTCTAAGGACATATAAAACAGCACTTAGAACAAGTCTAAATTCTACATTTCTTTTGGGTCCACCTCTTGCTGAAGCTCTCTTAGACTAATGTTACCCTTGGAATACCTGAGGAATTCTGTTCCTTGTTCTGAACTCCTTTAGACTTACACTGGCTATAAACCTGGGGGGGGAGGGGGGAAGAAGACATAACAACTACAATTCCTTGAAGTTGATACGACAAGCAAACAGAAAGGACATTGTTGGGTGGGAGGGAGGAGAGGGAGGAGGGAGGGAGGGAGGTTTCGGTAATGGGCCACAATAATCAACCACATTGTATATCGGCAAAATAAAATAAAAATAAAAATAAAAAAAAGACTTACACTGGCTATACATTGGCTATGTCACCCTCATTTTATCATGTATCTAGTATAACTAGATTATAATTTCTGAAGGCAAAGATCATGTTTCCCACTTAAAATCCTGTCTTCCTATTCCTAGTACACAGCTAGGTAAACAGAAAGTAGTTAATACATACTTCTGTGATAGATGGAACAGTGACTGGAACACTGCAAATGCTGAACAAATACCCAAAATGGAAATTGTCAGAGTATCGGAAGTGATAGACATTGACAGAGAGGATGTGAGAAGACATTCTTATAGTGGGTGGTGAGGAGGCTACCTGGTTTCTGACTCTGTCAGTTAATAGCTGTGTGACCTATGAGGAAATAACCTTAAACTACCTGGACTTTGGTCCCTCATTTGAATACTTTCCTGTTTACTCCATTATGGGAAGAGGGCTGGGAGAGTGAGGTTCAAATGAGAACATGAGTATGAATGTCCTTTGTAAATTATATATCACTCTGTCAGTTAGGATGTATGCAGCTGAAATGATATCATGACCCTTATTGTTCAATAACAGGTTTATTATATCACATAACAAGAAGTCCCAGGTTGGCTAACTCAGCAGTATCAAGAGCCCAGGTGCTCCCCATATTTCTGTCCTGCCGTCTTTGGTGCATTGGCTTTTGTTCTTGGGCTTGTCTCCTTATGGTCACAAAGTAGCTACTACCACAGCTCCATCCTTATACATTCTCTTCAACTGCAGGACACACAGTTTCGCCTCATGAGTCTCTTTATTTGGGGGAAAAAGAAACCTTCCCCAGAAGTATCCACAGCAGGCTCTTTATGTCTGGTGTTCCAGAGTTGCTTCACATGCCCTTGCTTAAACTAGTTTCTGGCAGAGCGAATGGCAGTTCCATGTTTAAATTAACAGAGCCTTCACCCTCTAGGGTTTGACTTTCAGAAGCTTTGTAGACTTTAATTTAAAGCAGTTTAAAAACATGGCCAATAGGAAAAGATAAAATCTTTAGAGTTTATTTTGTTAGAAATTGCTTATATTGGGGCCGGCCCGTGGCTCACTCGGGAGAGTGCGGTGCTGATGGCACCAAGGCCCCGGGTTCGGATCCCATATAGGGATGGCCGGTTCGCTCACTGGCTGAGCGTGGTGCTGACAACACCAAGTCAAGGGTTAGGATCCCCTTACCGGTCATCTTCTTAAAAAAAAAAAAAAAAAAGAAATTGCTTATATTGGAATATGCCAATTCATGTTTATTCTATAATGTAAAAGAATGAACAGATAATACGTAATTTTAGAATGAAAAAAATTTATTATGCAGGCCATACAGTTTCTGTCACAGCTACTTAACTCTGCCATTGTAGAGCAAAAGTAGCCATAGACAGTATAGTACATAAAGGAATGGATCTAGCAGTGTTCCAGTATAGCTTTATTTAAAAAAAGAGTGAACTGTAATCCCTGGTTTAAGCACTTGCTACTCAGAGTATGTGGTTGGTAGACTAGCAACAACATCAGCATCAGCCAGAAACTTGTTAGAAATGGAAGACCACACGCCCCAATCCAGACCCACTATATCAGAATATAATTTTAATAGGATCCCCAGGTGATTTTGAGAACCTGCTGCATTAGAGCATTAAATTCTTACCGGTGAGTGTTCTGAGAATTTCTCCTGATGGAGCTGTGGAAAGAAATGGTGTTTGAGGGATGAACTCTGAATTGGCTGTCTCCACACCCATTCCAATCCCCTTCTAACACAGAGAAGCTAGAAAGCTAAAAAGTACTTTTCCCAGACTCTTACAGCATATGCAGCTAGGTCTCCTTGATAAGATTTAGGTTTGCCCAGTACAAAGCACTTACACCAGACTGCTTTAGATAAGAGTAAGGGTGGCAGGTGCATCCTTTTTGGTGACACACACTTTGACAGAGGAGATAGTTCTGGAATTAGCAGCTGTAGTGTCAACTTCCTGATTTGTTTGGTGGCTTTTTTAAGCATCTTCTTGATCCATCCCAGAGTGAGCAACTTTCTTGGTAACCCAGTTCTGCGATGTATTTTGGGGGGTTTTTCCTGGAACCTTGGCTTGCAGTCTGTTTTTTCAGCTTTCCCAATGATTCTGGAAGCTGTTTTTATCCCTTAATAAATCTTTCTGTTAAACTAATCACATTGGATTCTATTGCAATTAAGAATCTTGACCAATCCAGATTCCCTGTAATAACTGCTTTAGTCATATCACCCATCCTCCCCTTCTTGGCCATGCTAACCCATCAAGAAATTGAGATGTATTTGCAGAGCATCCTCCTCTAGAGAAGGGTATTCAGTGGTCTGTGAGAGAGCTGTCTGATCTGTAGTGTGTCAGTGGTTTAATCAGACAGACCTGAATACATAGGAGAGTGAAACTGTGATAGAATCCGGTTCAGAATCTGTGCCTTCTTCATAGCTGTTTACTGCCCGTGAGAGAGCTGTCTGATCTGTAGTGTGTCAGTGGTTTAATCAGACAGACCTGAATACATGGGAGAGTGAAACTGTGATAGAATCCGGTTCAGAATCTGTGCCTTCTTCATAGCTGTTTACTGATTGAATCTTGTATGTTTATTCAGCAAATATCGGGTGCCCATCCATCTTTCACCAAGCACTGGGCCACATGCTGGGGATACAGAAATAAATAAAACACGTTTAGGTTTTGCTTTCTGAGCTCAACATTTCACCAAGAAGTCAGAGTAAATAGGAAATTATAATTTGAAAGTTAAAATTTGAAGGAGCAATTAGCATAGCACGGTAGGGGGCCTTCTTGGCAGAGTAATCAACTGTGGCACAGATTGGCTTCTAGGAGGATGACTAGATGGTTACAGACATGCTCATTTAAAATTCTCCCATTTTGGAGAGTTTTTGTTTGGGGGTGCACTAGGTAGTATGGTAGTGATTCTGCTTCTGATTTCCCTAGGTAAGGGAGTTGATAGAGGAGGGGTAAAGCAAATGGTGAGCTTTTCTTTACTCTGGAGCAGAATTGGGGTCCCGCTTCCCTAATGGACTTGGGGTAATGGGGAATGCACAGGTGTGGGCAGAGCTTGTGAGGCAGGTATGATTCTGTACTTTACCCCCTTAGGCATGAGAGTACCAGAACCTTTGCCTGCTTCTTTCTGGAGGACTCTAAAGGTTTGACTATTTGAATAAGTGTTAGGGCCAGTTGGTGGACCTAAACTGTGTAATTTTGATTTAAATCCAGTTAGCTTCTGTAGGTTCCAAGGTGCCTAAGGCAAAAGTGATGTTTGACAGTTACCATGCAGTCATGAATTCA